AGTGAACTAAATAGTGATCAGTGAACTGTGTGACTAAATAGCAGTGACTAAAAACTGAAAATAGTGATCAGTGAACTGTGACTAAAAAACTGAACTAAATAGTGATCAGTGAACTGTGACTAAAAAGCTGAACTAAATAGTGATCAGTGAACTGTGACTAAACAACTGAACTAAATAGTGATCAGTGAACTGTGAACTAAAAAAACTGAACTAAATAGTGATCAGTGAACTGTGAATAAAAAGCTGAACATTAGGCTTTGTAGTCACAGTTCACAAGAATGCTTCTGTATACCCAAAGTGTGAGCACATGGACCCTGCCTGGATGGCGTAAGTGATAGACTGTAGTATTGATTCTTGTCACTTATGTGGTATTGTGAAAAAACATGGAACAGCAGTAACGCTCGTCGACTGTCATTTGGAGAGGTGTGGTAGCTTGTTGAAAGAGAAGTCTTCCTCTTCTAACCTATGAGTCTGACCCCCTAGACAACCGCCCGTGTCCATTGTATACGAGCGAGAGTCCGTACAAAAGAGAGACACATTACAATGGTTGATGGGCTTAAGACAGGGGCATGGAGGAATATCACCAGTGGAATTGATCCAGAACATCAAAGACCGAGATGATCTGTGGAGAATGCATAAACGCCTACGCCAGCTGGCAAGGCACTTGATGATGACGATAATACATCTCTGCCTTCTCCTTGCTCTTTCAGCATCAGCGTTGTCAGTCATTAGCTCACAGACCCGAACAGGACAAGACACTCCACGGACATTACAAAGATTCTACACAGACATGAAATGACAATTGTCCTTGCTACATCATCACGCAGTGGATCGCAAACGGTTCCTCCCTCGGATCGCTTAACGGCAAAAAAAAAAAAAAGTGTGGAGAATTGATGATGGTGATGATGAATCCAATGTCTTCGGACAAGTCACGAGATTAGGCAACTTGAAGTAAGTTGTGACAACAGGAAAGTTGGAGGGTAAAAGAGGCAGACGATTGACGCCATAGCATGAAGGAGGGCCGCAATCAAGAAGTGATTGGTAGTATATGCAACAAAGCCGGCTGATGTTTTTTTTAGTATGTATTAAAATATATGCTAAGATTCCTTTACACCCCAGTGGCACATTGGGCATGTGAGATAAATTTTTATAGATCCTCGATGGGTAATGTGGTGAACATCAGAACGGCCGCTTTACTTCCAAGGACATGACCTTGTGTTGAGTTGAGTTGAGTTGATATCACAGCAATCGGGGCATTCCCATGTGTGCTCCGTCATCATCTTTAGCAGCCAGCGCAGAGTTTCAGTCCTGATGGTACCGGTCACAATCTGGTTAAAAGTCCGGCTTGCCTTTCCTCAGAGTGTAGTGAGCCGGCCAGACCCGCTGGTTACACCCAGATGTCTCCTTCTCACAAGGCCATAATAATCATGTTTTACTACTAATTCCGTTACTTGTTCCCAAAGGGCCTTGACCACATCTGCCTTGTCATGTATCAACTCACCACCCGATGGTGCAGATCCAGCCAACCTGCCTGACTGTTCATTACCCAGTACGCCGGCATCGCCTGGAGAAAAGATCTAACGTATGCTCACTTGCCGTGACCTTCCCAGTGAAGTTTGCCACTCTGCTCGATTCATCCTTGTCTTCACCTTTTCAGCATGCTTTCAGAGTCTGTTACAATTACGACGTGTGTATGCATCTTGTTCTCTAACCACCGGAGAGCTGCAGTTACCGCCTCCACCTCCATTCTCATGCTAGATGTTGTCATGTCGTATGCTAAGCTGTCTTGCACTAAAGATTTGCCATTGGCTTTCGCTACGAACCCCCAGGCACTTCTCTTTCCTCCCACCACCGAACCATCTATATAGATAATGAGATCACTTAGGCATGAATTGTTGTGAATCAACTGTTGGATTTCCATAACCTTGTGCCAATTTAAAGTAGAATCGACCAGGGAGTCAAGGTCATGTTTGAACACACATGAAATCAGACTTATGTGGATTTGAATCCACGACCTTCGGATCCGCGTTCTGTAGTATGTAACAGACGAAACCGATGAACATTAAATAGGAAGAAATCAGAAACCTTTGTGGACAAACGCGACAGTTCTAAGATTCAGACGATGGTGATATAAATGGACACATTTTGAAATAAATTACAAAACTGGCACTGCAATAGGAAAATAAGATTTGGGAAGCGAGAAGGTTTAAAAGAAATCCTACGACAAACGTTTGGTACAGAAGCCAGAGATGCCGGACTAGATTCCACACATGAGATGGATAGGATTACGACCGAATAGCACATAGACACCACAACTAAATGATGATTTTGCTGATTTCGCCCATTTCCATATTTCCAAGCGATAGAGGTATGTTCTTTTTATAGTGAGGCACATAAAGTGCCTCCTCTCCATAACACAAAAACCTGGAAGGTGTTGTAGAAACCATGTGTGTCCATGTAGCAAGATCCTTCTAGGCTTGCTTTGTTTAGACGAAAGAAAAGGTAACACCAACACGTATGGAACAAAGCATGCCTCAGAAGCTGCCAGATCAGAAGTGCAGTGCACAGGATGGGCGATACAGAAGACACATCATTTTGATTCAACTCCGTATTTAAATACAAGATCTCATTTATTCAGAAAAATACAGAAAACTATACAACATACCCGACACAATTTAATACATTCATAAAAGAAAAAACAGAAAAAAATCATTCAAAAATTATGCACATATTTTTTTATACAATAAAGATGATTTTAGGATTTTTAGTGCCAAGTACAATCAATGAATAGCGTTTAGTTTGTATAGTAGAGTCAAGAATTGATATCACAGCACTCAGGGCATTCCCATGCGTGCTTAGTCCCATCTTCAGCAGCCAACGCAGAGTTTCATCACTAAAGGTACCGGTCGTAGTCTGGTTAAATGTCCGACTTGTCTTTCCTCTGAGTGTAGTCAGCCGGCCAGACCTTTCTCTGGTCACACCCAGGTGCATTATTCTCTTCAGGCCATATTAATCTAGTTTCGCTTCTGACTTTGTTACTTGTTCCCAAAGGGCCTTGACCACATCATGTCATGTATCAATTCATCACCAACGGTACAGATATAGCCAATCTATCTGCCTATTCATTCTCAACACGCCATAACGCCTAGAGAAAAGATTTAAAGTATGATCACTACCCGTGACCCTCCAAGTGAAGCTTGCCACTCTGCTCGAAGCAACCCTGTCTTCAACTTTATCACCATGCTTTTAGAGTCTGTTACAATTATGAAATAATGTTTAGTTTGTTTATCTCATCATTATCCGCTCATGGTGTCAAACTGTCCAGCTTCTTTTCTCTCGGTCTCCCTCTGCCTCTCCTCCCCTCCAACCTTCCTAATGTCACGATGTACTCTAGTTTTCTCCTTCTCCTCACATGAAGAAAGAATGCACTCTCTCTCTTTCTCTTTCCCTCTAATGTGGGCAATCAGTTCTTTTCGTGAGTTAGTTTCTTTCAAGACATCCTCATTACTCTTTTACTCATTTAGGCTACATGTGGCCTAAATCTGATATACTGGGACATTGAACGGGTAACGGGAATAGCCACCCAGGAAAAACACAAGCGTTGTAAAGTACCCTTTTTCGCGCCCCCAAGCGTATTGGGCATATAGGGCTAGATATAAATTAGTCAGCACTTGGTGAGTGATATGGTAAACATCATGCTGGCCGCATTTTTTTTACCCCCAACCCCCTCCCCCTTCCCACACAAAAAAGTCCTGGTCTCTTACGACCTAAACCCACGACCTTCCGATCTGCAGGAAAGCGTCTAACCGTTACACCACGGCAGTTTGTAAACCATCGGGTA